TAGAGTGCTGAGAAGTGTTTTTATAACACTTTCTTTAGAGTCTTTCAGTACGTGGCACTGTAGAGTGCTGAGAAGTGTTTTTATAACACTTTCTTTATGCCTAATCAATGTGTTAGTAAATGTTAAAAGATACTTAGTGAAGTGTTTTATTTTATTTATTTTTGGTACCATCTTATGTCAATTTATCTTACCAATCGCCTAGGGGTGGTGGTGGCAGCTTTAACTTTACGGGGACTTACAACGCTAATATCTGGGGTTGGATCCTCGCGGTGGATACAGCGCAGATAACCCATTGTGCAGCTTAGTGCTAAAACAACAATAACTTTATTCCTATAACTAAAAGGAGTAGAATGTTAAAATAATTGCATAATAAATAATTTTTAAAAACAGGGATAAGCCCTAAAAAGACTACATGCTTCGTTGTTCTTACGCCATCTTTTTTAGGAGTCTTTTTCTATTGTATATACACACACATATATATATATATATATATATATATGTTTGTGTGTATATGTACACATTGCACAAGTTCCGTTTTAATTTATTATGTGTTTAATTTGTTTTGTTTTTGTTGTTGTTGTTTTTATTAAGCGCAAAGCTATATAATGGGCTATCTGTGCCATACCCACCGCGGGTATCGAAAACCGCGTTTTAGAGTTATGAGCCCTCAGATTTTACCGCCGAGCCACCTGGGAGTCAGTTAATGTTACAGGAATGGGGTAAAATTACTGGAGTAATTTAGGACTGTAATTATTTCGATTTAACTTTGCTAACTAAAAGTACAAGAAGAAAAACGTTGTCAACTGCATCGCCCCCTGGTGGCTCGGCGGAATATCTGCGGACTTACAACGCTACAAACCTGGTTTCGATACTCGTGGTGGGCACAGCATAGACAGTACACTGTGTTGCGTTGTGCTTAACTACAAACAAACTTAACCGAATCCGATAATTGTAGTAATTAAGAAGGTTCTTTAATTATTCCGCGAGTTTCTTTTATTTCCTCTTTTGTCTAAATACACGATAAAGAAAAGAGACTAGGCCTAGTTTCTTGTGTGTGTGTTTTTTTTCTGTTTAATTTCGCAGATAACTCTGGACAAATTCTTGTTACATTTAAGGAAATTATTATACTAATTACACGTTATTTACATCTGTGGAGATTATTAAACAGAAGCGGACATTAAAAAAATAGAAAATAAATTAATTTGGGCGGATACGCAAATTATTGATCTAACGAAAACATTTTTTTCTTCATCTAAAAGTTGAGTTCCCTATACAAAATAACTTGGCGATAAGGCTTAATAAGAGCCTTTTTTTTTCGTTCTTGCTTGTCTGGAAAACCCCTTTTTTTTTTTTTTTTACACTTTTTCTCTGGAAACAATTGACAGGTTTATTATGTTCACGGCAGCAGGGCCACTAGTAGTTGTTTCGTGAAACGAGTGTCGGTAAGCGAACGGGTGCTTCCTGTTCCATCTCCACCACATCCAGCGTGCAAGATGGAACCAGTAAACGCCAGGAATCGCAGTAATCGGGATTCAGTTTCCGTTTGTGCGACTTACAAGTGAGCTATAACAGATAATATAGGCAGAAAAAAGAAATTGGCGAAATGGAACTCTGCTTTGTGGGATGTTCCATTTTCTCTCGTGATATGCACGTGCTAACTTAACCCTCGTTGTATGATTTAAAGCCGTAGTATCTCCGTATTCTTTTAAGTAGCGGTAGAAAAATAACTAGGGCACTGCGGAGTAAACAACTACACATTATAGGGTCAGTTTTCTTGTTTCAGTCTGCACGTTTCCAGCTTTATGAATGTATATCTTGTTATTAGAAAGATAAGGAACCTGCATTATCTTCTATATTTCTCTGGAAACTTTTCTATCTTTTTCTTCTTGGAAAGAGAAAGGAAAAAAAAAATACATCTAACGTTAAAGTACTGATTGTCTTGGATTCGCTGAATAAAAAAAAAGAAGAAAATCGGGAGTGACAGCACTAGTTGCTTTTGCACGAAGAACAGAGAGTCGCTCTTCAAATCATTTTCCAGGCTAAAGTGACTACAATCTAGAAACATCTTTTTTTTTTTCTTCCAACTTCTCGTTACCATAGAAACCTTCCAACTTCTCGTTACCATAGAAACGTAATAGTTCATTTAGAGGGTTGCTAAAAAAAATGTCATTAAGTTGAAAGATGTATATAACTGCCAGAGGACGCACAGACATTGCAATATTTGTGAAACACTGGATTTCCAAAATCTTAGATCTCATTAACCTTTTAGAGGTCTGCCTGATAAAATATATATATATATATAGAGAGAGAGATTTGGCAAGGTAAAAAAAGTTTTTTTTACTTATTTGAGTTGCATAATTTTTTCAATATAGTTGTTTTTTTGGTTCCATATAAAATCCGTTTTTGTTTGTTTGATTATAGTACGGGTTGGCCAAATGTCGTTTTTTCAGGTTAAAACAAGCATCGCTATTTTATGGCACGGTATGGCCAGGTGGTTAGAGCGCTCGACTCGCAATCTGCAGGTCGCGGGTTCGAATCCCCGTCACCCCAAACATGCTAGCCCTTTCAG